GCATTTTGACAAGTCCTTTTGTTGCTAATAATAGACCAGATCGGCAATTAACGTAAATCTTTATGGAATCCAAATTCGTTATTATTTTTTACAAATTAAAAATTCCTTACTAGTAGGCCCATTTTCCCTGTTTTATCAACCAGGAAACTTATTCAATGAATTCCCGAATTTTTCCAGTTTTCCTGACTGTGTGGGGACCCCGATTCAATGAAACCGTAAGTTGGGTTTTCATTATTTTGAAAATTTTAAAAATAATAAAAAATGTTATATACTAATTTATGATTTTCTCATTACTGTACAGTGCATAACTGTAGCCCATGAACATGTGTTTTCAGTTGGAGGGGGGGGGGGTGTCTAAATTTACAAGGAAAGTTAGGTTAAGGTGGGGGGTGATTTACCCTTGAGTTAAAGATACTGACTTAGCATTTAGGTTAGGCACAATAGTAGATTTTAGGATGGAAGGTATTTCAAAATTTTTATTTCCTTACATGTTTTGTTACTAATTTTTGTTTTTCTCTGAAAGTGTATTAAACAGTACATTCTATCTCTTTCCCCTCCCCATTTTAGCAATAACGTGTTTGCACTAACATTTTTTACAAATAATATATGCCATCATGGCAATCAATAATGGCGACCCAGGAAAATGAGTACTGCGCCCCAGGAAAATTAGTACTGCGCCAAACATAAATTTACAGACATTGGGTTACAATATAAACGAGAATGAATAAGAATGAAGTCACTGAATCTGGCGAATAGATCTTCTTCTATTCTATGATGATTATATTTACGAAGTGATTATTCACAGAGCTGTGCGGATAACGCTCGCCGTTATTCACAGATTTCGGTCTGCCGATAACGCTCGACATTATTCGCAGAATGTGATAAATTAAATTATGAATATAAAATACAAAGTTCGTGTGAAAACATCTCCTCGGTAGTGTAGTGGTCAGTATCTCCGCACGTCACTCGGCGGACATAGGATCGATTCCTCGTCGGGGAAGCTTCATTTTTATAAATAAAATTTAAAAAAAAATATATATTTAATGGATATTTCGTAGTGTTATATTATAATAATATTCTTCATATAGCTTTCTTATTTCTGTTCACATAGTTTTATTATTATTTTCATGTAGTTTTGTTACTTATGTTACAAGTTTCAATCTATTTTGTTAGAATGTTCATTCAAGTTTCGTCAAAAAACTGTAAAAAACATGGACATGCAGATGAGCCGCATAAACCATGTTTAAGTCAGATACAGCTGTTCTAACTGTACATTGTGATATACTTTTAGCTCTTTTGACTGTTTAATTTTCTTTATATAATTCCACTCATAGACTTTAACATCCATTTGTTTTTCTCTAATAAACAAATACTTATTAATAACTTACTTATTCAAATATTTTAGATCTCAGAGTTGTGTATTAATGTTTAGCTGAAAAAATATGTCACGTTTTATTTGTTTCATTTTATTTTCTAATAAGTATCATAATAAGTAGGGACACAATATGCCGCTCCAGAAATAGTTGAAATAACATTTAGTGATGACAATGAAAGGAACATACCGGTACCGTACTTAAAACACATCAATATCATTGACATCAACAATTTTAGCTCTTGTAAAAAAATGTTGATAATTGAAACAAAAAGCCATACTGCCACTGTTGTAACTATGGGTCTAAATACAAAAAAAGCATACAAAAATTAATTGGAACCCTGCTGGTCGTAGGATGCATTGCGAGTCTTTGGGAAGTAAAGTTCCCTTGGGGCAATTGAAGTTTGAGTGTATGGCCAGCGCAATAACCAGCCAGCTTTACTTTTCCCCAGCTAAGGCCAGAGCTGGGTAGACTTAGGGACACCCTCAAGGATCAGGAAAAAATACTAGCCTTAAACAGGATTAGATTCTGTTATTATCGATGTAGGGCCTATATGCCCCTCCCCGTCTCTCACATGGCCGCCTGATGGAGACACCTCTCTGCATCATAACACTGTTGCACGGCATGTCAACTATTTCTGTCAGAACATTTCTGGACTACGTGATATATCATAGTGCTTTTAAAAAAAAACTAAACGATATCCTATCAAGCTTTGACATCATTTAAAGACATCTCTACAATGGGTGAAAGTGAGTCTACATGAAGAATACCGGTACCATTTTTATTACTGGTATAACATTTAATAGGAAA